ACTAAACACTTGCTAAACTTGGTTTAAACTTTAACTTTAAGGAAAAGCAGCTGATTTGTTAGAGCAACTTATATCTCAGCTTCTACACTAAACCAATTTTTATGTAACAAAATGCAGACATGTTTATAAACATATTTTATAAGTATGCAGAATGAGAAATTAGGGCTAAAAATTGTTGAATTCGTTGTTTAATATACAAATACATTTTATGATATGAATTAAAAGTACTTTTACATAATTTTTCCGACGTCTTTGCTATTTGTCATTTTTATTATTCACCGGTACTCAGTTTGTTATATATACTGTATATCCTTGAGCCTTGATGAAGGATCATTTAGATTCGTAATGCATACTAACCCGATTTTCACGAAAATCGCGAAAACTAACTGCAGAATTTCCTCCATGGCGTTAACCGACGTTTTTGTAACACACTGTATCACGCCCGACAACACAACGAAACGCGACCGTACACTAATAGTAAAAAGAAGATCGAAAGGAAAGACCTGGTGCACTCCACGCTCTCCTCGACGGAGGCCTTCACCGGCAGCAACACCTATATGTGTACAGGAACTTGGTGCACAACACAACCCGCACAAAATAGTAGACAAGATGCTTTGAGGTCCGTCTCTCTTCGATGTCGAAAGAATTGCAATGTTAACTTCTTTCCTTCTCGCCTTCTGGTTGGTTCTTTCTCTCTTGTTACCACGGAGTACGGACGAACGCGACTTCCAGAGGCAGCCGGTTGTTTTACCAGTTGGTCCCCTCCCCTACGTGCCTACTTCTTAAGTTAGTAAAAAGTTGGCAAACTCCGACATATAGATAACAAAAAGAATACTCCTGCAACATACAGGGCCTTAATCGCATACGTGAAATTAATTGCCTTTGTGTTGAGGGATTGAGGTAGAACAGGGATGATGTGTACAACTTCTACCTCCTAGATGATAGAAAACGTCGAATATTGTGAAAATGTACAAATTAAAATAGATGCACTCAGTTTGGTGATGATATCCTTTACCGGGGCAATTTCGGAAGGCGAAGTCTGTTATGAAAATCTGAACTAATTTAACTGTAAGTACCTATAAGTCGTTCAAGCCGTCTTATAAACTGCAACCACCTACCCCCTCATTTCTATCAGATATGGTTACATAAGGATTGAGACGAAATAAGTGGTAAAATGCCGATGTCCAGTTTAATAGTTTATTGAAGACTTGGCCTTCCTAAAATGACCCAGTTATAACATATACTTCCAGTTGTCATACGGTTGGTCCAAGCAGCAGTAGATATAACATTTACTTTGAAATTTTTATTTTACGCTTGGTGTTACCAAATTCATTACGAATTCTGGCTAATAGCTTAGATATAAGTTTCAAACAAACGAAGGTGATAATTTTGTTGTTATTTTTTCCAATTCTCTTTGGTTAATAGATCCGTTAGTAACCCAATCGATCGACTTTGACGCCACAGCCCACTTCGTCTTTGGTATAATTTAATTTGTAACTGTACCTTTCGGTTCGTAACAGCATGGCTCGATCGAATCAACCGCTAAAATAGTAGTTAAAACAGCTATTAATTAACCATCCTGGGCGATGTGAAATGATTTTATACGGGGGCGATTTCAAAAGTATTTGTTTCTTACACATGTATGCATGGAATCTTCATCATAAGGTTTTCAGCCCAAGCACTGACAGGACCGAGCGGCATGGCCTAGAGGTTTTGTCCATTGCTCCAATGTCTTTAAATTGCATTCATTTATTGGACTTACATTACTCTATTATTTATATAAGAAGGTGGCTGAAGGTATTTGTCCAAATTTCCCTATACCACATCGCATTCTTGAAAAGATGATGAACTATCAAGATTCCAAGGTGGCTTCTAACCCTAAACCGAGCGGCATGGTCTAGAGGTCTAGACCATTGCTTAGCATTTGGGAGGACGCCGGTTCGATTCCGGGTGGGGCAGTAATATTCCACAGATAATCTTTCATTCTCTTCTGTCTTCATTTCGTCCGTCTCATTTTTCTAACCTGAACCACCACCCACCCATTCCCACGATTCCCAATAGTAGCTGGTGGGAATGAAACACAGTTCTTCCTCCTGCGAGTAAATCCTACTTCTCTAACAATTTTCGAATACTAGGTCTACTTTTGCCACCTTTAAATCCTGTTCATGCTTCTAATATGTCTCCTGTAGCTAACCCATCATGTGTGAGAAGGTGTCCTTACAACGTATCTCGCTTATATTTGATTTCCTTCCATAACGCCCTCTGTTCTCCTATTCTTTTTGAAACCTCCTCATTTCGAACCTTTCTATTGACGGTATTTTGAACACCCCCCTATAACACCGCACTCACACGCTTCTAAATATTTGCCACGATGATACTGCCGGGGTAACTGTATATCAATTATCACTTCGTGGCTTCTCTCCTTTCGATCTTTTTTAGACTCCCCCATACGGATTAGTATTTGCAGCGGATGCCCCTAATCGATTTCTAAGTAGTATATAAAAAGTGTTAATTACTGTCAAACGACCTGTCAATTGACCTATTTTTTCTATTAACCACATTAAATTCAACATCGTTCCACACCATAAAATCTTTACTACCGTTTTCAAGAAATCGATTATCTACACATTACATTTCTGTTGTAAGTTGGAAAACAGGGTTTATTGCGTCTGGGTTAGGTTCGGTCCGATTCCGAACTAAAACCAACGGAATATACGGAACCAAGCATACATCGTAGATATCCTTGTTGCATAAATTAGATACCTGAGAGAACAGTTATACAAGGTAATTTAACATGAACATTCATTTACTTTTGAAACAACCCTCGTATATAATACATCCTAAGATCGTTGTAGTTAACGTGTATGTTGTATGTGTATAGATTTAGATCGTTCGTTGTAATAAGAATTGCCGTGAATTGTGTGTATTTTCTATATATCCACTTTTAACCGTTCTTGTCCAAGACAAGAACAGTTGACGGTCATTGAGCTCCTACGCCTACTGTTTTACATGGACGAATACACCTGTGAAAGACGTTGTTGCCAATAATCACTTACTTCACCTTCGCATTATCTCAATATACAGAGCGTTCGACTGCCGAATTGATATCGAATAATACCGAGGAGAACAAATTAAATTTAATAATGCACCAATTAATGTACCTACTAGGTAATTGTATTAATTTGTAGTAAATACGATATAATTAGTATAAAAAGTTATTAAATCGTTCTAAAATCAAACCGGGGCCGCCCTTAAAATAGGCGGGTATTTACCGCTATTCTATCGATGCTGCACAAAGCCCTCAGTCAAAAAGTTTCAAGCCCTTAGAGCTGCACAAAGCTGAGCCCTCACTAAAAGAGTTTCAAGCCGTCAGAGCTACACAAAGCCCTCACTAAAAAACTTTCAAGCCCTTAGAACTGTATAAAGCCTTCACTAAAAGAGTTTCAAGCCGTTAGAATTGCACAAAGCCCTCACTAAAAGAGTTTCAAGTCCTTAAAGCTGCACAAAGCCCTCACGAAAAGAGTTTCAAGCCCTTAGAACTGTATAAAGCCTTCACTAAAAGAGTTTCAAGCCGTTAGAATTGCACAAAGCCCTCACTAAAAGAGTTTCAAGTCCTTAAAGCTGCACAAAGCCCTCACGAAAAGAGTTTCAAGCCCTTAGAACTGTATAAAGCCTTCACTAAAAGAGTTTCAAGCCGTTAGAATTGCACAAAGCCCTCACTAAAAGAGTTTCAAGTCCTTAAAGCTGCACAAAGCCCTCACGAAAAGAGTTTCAAGCCCTTAGAACTGTATAAAGCCTTCACTAAAAGAGTTTCAAGCCGTTAGAATTGCACAAAGCCCTCACTAAAAGAGTTTCAAGTCCTTAAAGCTGCACAAAGCCCTCACGAAAAGAGTTTCAAGCCCTTAGAACTGTATAAAGCCTTCACTAAAAGAGTTTCAAGCCGTTAGAATTGCACAAAGCCCTCACTAAAAGAGTTTCAAGTCCTTAAAGCTGCACAAAGCCCTCACGAAAAGAGTTTCAAGCCCTTAGAACTGTATAAAGCCTTCACTAAAAGAGTTTCAAGCCGTTAGAATTGCACAAAGCCCTCACTAAAAGAGTTTCAAGTCCTTAAAGCTGCACAAAGCCCTCACGAAAAGAGTTTCAAGCCCTTAGAACTGTATAAAGCCTTCACTAAAAGAGTTTCAAGCCGTTAGAATTGCACAAAGCCCTCACTAAAAGAGTTTCAAGTCCTTAAAGCTGCACAAAGCCCTCACGAAAAGAGTTTCAAGCCCTTAGAACTGTATAAAGCCTTCACTAAAAGAGTTTCAAGCCGTTAGAATTGCACAAAGCCCTCACTAAAAGAGTTTCAAGCCCTCAGAGCTGCACAAAGCCCTCACCAAAAAGTTTCAAACCCTTAGAGCTGTACAAAGCCTTCACTAAAAGAGTTTCAAGCCGTTAGAGTTGCAAAAAGCTCTAACTAAAAGTGTTTCAAGTCCTAAGAACTACACAAAACCCTCACGAAAAGAGTTTCAAGTCCTTAGAGCTGCATAAACCTAAGCCCTTACTAAAATAGTTTCAAACCCTCAGAGCTGCACGTGTTCTCACTAATAGGGTTCCAAACCCTTACGTAATGTACTTTATCAGTTGAAGCTCCAATTAGGACATTTTAAAACCCTAGAATCATATTTAAACGAAACTGGGCTTCAAGAATTCGAACATTTTTTCGCACAAAAATTTCACGAAAATAACTCGCGTATTCTTATGATGCACGTTTTAGTTACGCATTCGCTGCACTCTCTTTTAATAGACGAATTTACGCCTTATTCTAAGATTGTCTTTTATTACAAAAAAGGTAGGTCAAAGTTCACTTTATTGGGATTAAAAGAGAAATATTTTTATATCCTTTAAATCGGTGCATTTCAAGTTAAAATCAAATCGTATTTTTTATATTTCTGATTAGATTACTGAGTCATTCGGGTTATCAAATTAAAACAGTTCTACATACAAGTTTTTCGTCTTACCTCGTCAGTTATATTGCCGTAGTGTTGCACGTCTTCAGTTTCTTTCGTTTCCTCGAATTCTTTTCTCGAAATGACGCGTTTTTCTTTAACTTCCCGGACGACGCCGTCTGGATTAGGAACCGGAACCAAATCCGTCGTCTCAATGCCGCCTTCGATTGCACGAATTTTATCCTTGTCGTCGTCCACTCGTCGCAGCTGCAAATCAAAAATAAATAGTTATCAGAAAGTGTATAAATTTAATCATTTCACTAGTGTAAAAATCAAACTGGAGTATCTACCTACGTATTTGTTTGCGATATTAAAATAATCTAAAATCATTCGCTTGTTTACTTGATGTAAACATGTACATAAGTGTTTTTAAAAATGCTGTTTGAAATAATCTCAAAATCGTGCAAATCTGCGATAACACCTTCCTATTTTCAAATGGGGAAAACCCTGTCACGTTCCAAGGTGTAAAAAATCATTCATTGTGAGGTCTTTCTTCGAAATCATCACACGAAACAAGTGCAGGGACGTCAAAAACGGAGGTCTAGGTAGGAGCCCATCCAACAATTTTAGTGGGAGGCAGAAGGGCTAAGTCTCCCTAACATTATGCTTTCAATTTTTCTCATACTTGCGATGAAAACAAAATTGTGCAAACAGTACAGTATACCATCAATAATTTCGCCTACCCCTCATAGTAATGAACTGCCCAAATCTAATATCCCGAAGGAATTTACCGTTGAATCTGATGAAGATTAACGTAGGGATGTACAAGAAGATTTAGACTTATATATTCCGAAAATGCAAAGCAATAGTCCATTTTATTGGAAGATAACGCTGAAATCTGTTCTTTAAAAAAACTCGTCAAAAAGGCCTGATTCCATACTTACTAAAAAAATACTTTGATTGCCTGTAAAGCTATTGATGTTTGTTAACTGCCTCATGTAAAGATACAGTCCAGAAATGCTGGCAAACTAGTGCTAGAGCATAAGACGAGATGCAGCAGCTAACTTCATACTATCGAATATGGTTAGCTGTGCGCGCGCAACATGCAACGGAAGTTGTGCGCGCACTTCCGTTGTCTGCTAAGATGTTGCTCTTAACTCCCCAAAGAAATGTTTTAAGTTTACTAATTACAGTAGAATCCGCTTATAATGACATCGAAGAGAAATGACAAACACGTCATACTAAGCGGGCGTCATACAAAGCATAGTTTTAGAAAATAAACAACTGTCTATTTTGGTTAGTTATTTAGTTTAATAGAGAGAAAAACTACAAATTGTATATATTTATTAACAGAAAAACAAAAAGAACGATGAATTGTAATATCAATATACATAAGAAGGGTCAGAAAAATGAACGAAAATGTTATTATTAATCATTTGGGTCACTATAGCCGGATATGATTTCTTGAGAATCAGTCATAATAAACGATATGTCATTTTAAACGGAGTCATTATATCCAAACTTTCCTATAGAGAATTTAATATGAAAAGACCAAACTTAACACTGCAATCACTTCATATTAAGCGGTTGATCAATATAGGCGGAGTCATAATAAACGAATTCCACTGTAATATTATTGGAATTAGACTTTACCTCGGTTTGATGATGTTCCTGTTTTTCGGTGTCCTCGGTGGTATTTGTCTCCACCATGGGTCCAGTGTCTTCGACGATCTTCCCATCTTGTAGCACAACCTGTCTCTTAACCCTTGTCTTAACTTGCTTGGTGTTTGTTACTTCTGTCGTCTTTTTGCTCACCCATTCTTCTGCAATGCGGAAAGGAAAAGTAGTTTTGTACAGGTGCATAATAATTAGAACAATGCAAATCAATTTGTTTCGGTGACTATACTTCCTTTGCACGATTCAATTTGCCATTGTACCTATTCTATATTTCCTTTCTTTTTGTTCACATGGTTTGCGAAAAATTATCATTTTAATGTAGGAAACAACGAAAGTAATGTGAAACTAAAAGAGTTTCAAGTCCTAAGAACTGCACAAAGCCCTCACGAAAAGAGTTTCAAGCCCTTAGAGCTGTACAAAGCCTTCACTAAAAGAGTTTCAAGCCCTTAGAGCTGCACAAAGCTGAGCCCTCACTAAAAGAGTTTCAAGCCGTTAGAGCTGCACAAAGCCCTCACTAAAAGAGTTTCAAGTCCTTAAAGCTGCACAAAGCCCTCACGAAAAGAGTTTCAAGAACTTAGAGTTGCACCTTTCAAATTCTTCGAGGAAGGTTTGTTTTTTTTTTTACCTTGGTAATACAATGAATAAATCGATTAACTTCTGCATTATTTCCACTAAACACTTGCTAAACTTGGTTTAAACTTTAACTTTAAGGAAAAGCAGCTGATTTGTTAGAGCAACTTATATCTCAGCTTCTACACTAAACCAATTTTTATGTAACAAAATGCAGACATGTTTATAAACATATTTTATAAGTATGCAGAATGAGAAATTAGGGCTAAAAATTGTTGAATTCGTTGTTTAATATACAAATACATTTTATGATATGAATTAAAAGTACTTTTACATANCATGAGTTTAATATTTAAAACAGAGGTTTGAAATTTTGTAGTAAGATAGATACAGCTTTGTTCTAAAGCTTGTCGAAGGGCATTTCTTAATTTTTTAATTTCTATTGAAAATACGTGACCTACAAGAAGCATCAACTTTAAGCACTTTTAACAGCTTTCAATGACCATATTATTGAAAACCGAAAACGTACCGAGTTAGTGTGAACCTTTGTCTGTTACCATACAAAAAATTAGATATTTATCTAGCAGCGTTAAATCACAATGTTTAGAATAGAAACCCATGTTTTCGGAAAAATTCACACTAGGCACGAGCGGTCTATTGCAGTCAGTCCCCTTAATAAATGACACCGAATCCTTTTCTGTTTACCGATTGCAACCGGGAATAATGACATTTTTAATCGCGAATACAGGAACTGGGTTGCAATTTTTTCATCCGTGAATAATGAAAACGCGAATAAGGAAACCGTGAATAAGGAACTTTTACTGTAATGTGAAAATTAATTTTCAATTTTCCTTCCACCTCATTAATCTGAGGTAGTTTGTAGTGGATGGAAATTGAAAATTAATTTTCACATTAATATTTAATAATTCTTTTAGTTATTAGAAATTTCGAAGGGCGTTTTTAGGTACCCTACCCTTTTTGTCAAAATTTTATTACTTTTTTGAAACCATCAAAACAAAAATAAGAACTAAATTTTTTTGTTACACGTAATTAATATTTCTGTTGATTGTTATTACTTCTTTTTTTTTTGTTAATTATTAAACTCACCTTCTTTGGTTGTTGCAAACGTATCTCCAGGTTCGACCTGCGAAAAAAATATGGGATATTTGAAAACAACGCATGAAACGTACGAAGCTCTAGGTAAAGGACCGCATATCGCAGGACCTTCGGGGTCCACTATAAGCAGGATAACGACCATTCACATTTCAGTCCTTTCCACTTAATCCCGCAGTTACTGTACACCCGCAACTTCACTAACATGCCTGCTACGCGTGTTGCATATCGGACGTCACTGTAACTTGCTTATTTTCTTAAACTTTTCAGGTTGTTATAAGCACTCGAAGTAAGAACAGTCTAAATTCGTAGTTTTTAAAATCATTATATCCATTTTGTCTTTTGACAATTGTTTTTTTCCTAAATTAATCCAAAATCAGCCGATGAGGATTCACTTTTACAGGTATAAACTGTTACTTAATAAATAATGGCAAACATTATAACTAAACACTAAATTGCTTAAAAAATATAGCTTTTATCGTAAAAATAATAATACTATAATTGTTGGTGTAAAATCGGATAATTATGGTTTGTGGCGATTAATTAGTTATCTCATTAGTTTCTGAATGCCAATTTTTTCTACTTTACCAATAGTTAAGCTATTGTAATGATTCCTGTTCGGTTACAAATTGTCTAATTAGTGAATTATGTATTTTTTCGATCAGATTGATTTTGAACACTTATTAAAAATATATTTTTTCTTTGCAATTTGTTAATAATACCATTATGTCATTGATATCACAATATGACTTGTTCACCTTCGAATGTGGTAGTTCTCTAAATACGACCCAAAATGACCTTTCAATTTGTCCACTATAAGTTTCCGGTGTTTTGTACTAAACTGTAATTTTAATTACGTCAACTTTATCTGAGAGTTGAGTTAATTGTGGAAACGGAATATTGTTAGAGAGGAAGAAAGTAAGGACATTCTAAAAGTATAACGTGTATTATTTATTAATATCCAATGGATTTCAAATCACAATTTATTGATTGTTACTGTTTATATCTCATTGTATTTCTGTGACTAATAATATTTTTTTGTTTATTCAAATACGGTTGTTTATTTTACTAGTTTTTTAAATGTAGTAATATAATGGAATAAAATAATTCGAAGTAGTCTGTGTTCTGTCGAAACTGCCAGACGCGGATCGCGATTTCGATCTTGTTGGATCTCATCAGCGCGTCGCAGACCAATTTTACCTTTTAAATGGACCTTGTTGAGAATACGCAATCTTAAAATGTAGCATTATACTACAGATGGCGTTTACCGCGTCGTTTGTGGTATTTTATAATTTGTAGTAATATAGAATACTAAAAATTCGAAAAAGGTTGTTAAAGGTGTATGTTTGGAGCACAGCGCTGTACGGGTGCGAAACATGGACAGTGGGCGCGGCGGAAAAGAAAAGGTTAGAAGCGTTCGAAATGTGGTGTTATAGGCGGATGATGAGGATATCGTGGGTAGAAAAGGTTAGAAAAGAAGAGGTATTAGAAAGAGTAAGAGAACAGAGGACTCTATGGAAGTCAATAAGAAACAGGCGAGATAGGTTGGTAGGACACCTTCTCAGGCATGAAGGTCTAGTCAGAGACTTATTAGAGACAGAAACGGGAGTTAGAAGGGGTAAAGGTAGACCTAGATTAGATTATTGTTCGCAAATAGTTAAGGACATAGGTTGCTCTAGCTTTAGGGAAATACGAAGATTAGCGCAGGATAGGAAAGACACCTCCACTCCAGTCTCCAACCAGTCTTAGGACTGACGACCTTCTGATAATGAATATAGAATACTTAAAATATCAATAGTCTTAGTTTAGTTTGCTGGATTTTGGAGTTCTGTTTCAGATCTGTTTTTTCTGAAAAGCCATTAAAAGTTTCATTTTTTATTAAAATTTCTTAAGAGCCCAATAATTAGCACAACGAAGGTCTAGTGACAAAGATCTAAAAAAATATCTTTAGGTATTTTGCAGAAAAATTGTAATGATGCGATAACAACCAAGCAACTGCTACATCGATGAAGAATGTATAAAGTGACGGTTGTCGAACGATTAATAAAGTAAAAATACTACTGCATCGTTCAAAGTTGTGTATGAATATTTATGCGATATACAGTTGCACAAATAGTAATTAAATTTATACAAACAAGTCGCCGTCGTGTTGTTTGTGTGTGTTTGCAAAAGTTAACTCGTTAGAGCAGTACATTAGGTCGATCACGTCCCGATTAATTAATTACACTTTTACTAAAGTTAAATCAAGCAATCGTGGTTTATAGGGACAAAAGGTAAATATTCTTACGTAGTAGCTGGCTGTGGAAATGGGACGAAATATTTCACCTCGAAAAACATTCAACATATTTCCCGCTCATTTATTGAACGGTTAGAAATTAAAAATAACTTTTCTGGTATGAACAATGCCGTTCTTCAAACATACACCTTTAACAACCTTTTTCAAATTTCTAAATTAACGGTTCGCGAGCATAGAAGTGACTTCTTTTTTTTAAAGGTGACACGACCCAGCGCTATCCTCTGCTTTATATCCCTACTACTCCTTCCATCCTCACTTATCTGACTTCCTAGGTATCTAAAATCGGCCACTTCTTCTAATTTCTCGTCTCCTATCTTTATATTCGCTCTTTTCCTACTTTTTCGCCCCTTGCATACCAGTATTTTAGTTTTACTTTTATTTATTTTCATACAGTACCGATCTGTCAGTACCGCTTCCATTTTATTTAAAGCTATCTCTAGGTCCTCCTTGCTAGATGCTAATGCTGCTATATCATCCGCAAATCTAAGCATACTAATCTTTTGCCCCTGTATATCTATCCTTACAGTTGTACCGTCTTTAATGATGTTGATCGCGTCTTCGATGTATAGGTTAAAAAATAGCGGTGACAGTATACATCCCTGTCTGACTCCCTTCCTAATATTTACTTCTCTACGTTGCATCCCCAGCTCTATAACTGCCTCTTGCTCTTTATAGTAACTAAGTATCACTCTTCTATCTTTGTAACTCATCCCTACATTTTTAAGTATATTTAACATCTTGTCCCATTTAACATTGTCAAAAGCTTTCTCTAAATCTACAAATCCTATGTACGCACTCTTTCCTTTTTCTATCGTTTTCTCTATTGCTACCCGTAAAGCTAGAATGGCCTCCCGCGTTCCTCTATTTCTTCTAAACCCAAATTGATCTTCCCTTAATAGTTCTTCCGCCCTTTTTTCCATCCTCCTCTGTACAATTCTAGTTAAGATTTTGACGCATGGGAAGTTAAGCTAATTGTTCGAAATGTCTCGCTCCTATCCGCGCCCCTCTTTTTAGGTAATGTTACTACTACGTTCCGTTTATAATCCTCTGGGACTTTCCCCGTTTCGTAAATGTGACTAACTAGCTTAAACATACGATCTCTAACCTCTTGTCCTGCATGTTTTAGAATTTCCAAATTATTTATCTAAAATTGTAAGCTAACTTCTACCAGTCGATTGGTATTTCAATTAGCAATCGTTTAAATAGCAGGAATAGTAATAAAAATCGACGTATTCAGATTTAGACTTAAAAAGCGAGTAAGTCAAGGTGGTGAAACGGTATTAACAGATCTCTGTTGCTACCAAATTTCAAACTTCTAGGTTGGACCCAATAGGTTTTGATGACCTGTCGGTGAGTCCTATGTTATCCTAAAAAGAATTCCTTAACGGAACCCTAAAAAAAAAGGAGGACAATTGTTGAACTTTTTAGCTCGCGGATAGAGTTGTGTTGTGACAGAAGAAATATTTTTATTTTGAAAAATCGCTTATTCGAAACGATCTATTAAATTTATTTGAAATTTATAAGGGTTTTTATATAACTATAAATATTCACCAACTTTGAATTCCTAACCACAACTGTACTCTTCGTGTGTAACAAAATTCCTTCAGGTAAAAAAATAAATTGCACTAATGTAGCAAACTGTATAACAGAAAAATGATAGTTTAAAAGTTTCTGAGAACATCTTAAACATATTATTTATGAATTTTTAATGGTAAATTAATTATTCTTGATTGATATGGATATAATAATAANAAGGTTGCCACCCGTACTTTATTATAAATTATTGTACGCTATTTCGACTGTGCGTACGTTATACTTTACAAGGCACATAAAGTATGCAAAAATACTTTATTTAAGGCCTTAAGTAAACATCGCAATTTTGTAAGTGACTATTCTAAATTCAGAGTATTTTTACATCAATAGTATTGCACAGAAAAATGGCAAGCCATATTTACAGAACAACCTGATTTCCCAAATCTGTTCAAACTAGTGTCACTTTTGTTATCCGTTCCGGCCACTTCAGCATTTACAGAAAGAGTATTCTCTGTTATGAACGCAAAGTGACGGGACGACAGGAATAAAGTTTCATTAAAACTAATTAAAAATTAGGAGCAACAGCAATTTGTTCCTGGCTGCTAGGTGTAACAAAAAATACGTTTTTAAAAACAAAAAAATAAAATACTTTATTTTTATGCTGGGTACTTTTTTTTTAACCTTTTAGTCGAGAAATACTTTCTGTAAAGCCTGAAAAGGTGGCAACCCTAGTGGTGATAGTCGTTTGAACCTAATTTTCAAAATGAGCGATGAAACCTCTTGTAGGCGCTATCAGGGTACCAGTAGAAGGCTCATAGAAAATATACATAGGACAAAGACATAGATCCTTAAGCATTAGAATTACAGAGCATAAATATTGTAATATATAAAGAAAACAGCACCAACAGTTCAGATGGGTATGCCTCTTAAAAATAGTCTCCAATGATGATGACACCTTGTAATATTGTTGTTTATTTTTATCAGGCATATCAAGCTCATTTTAATTTATTTATTTATCAGTTACTAGTACGCTTTAGGTCGTAACATCATAATTCACGGCGAAATAGGTGTCTGGTGCTATTAAGTGCTTATTACATCATCGCATTAATTTAATGTCTCATAATTATAATAATATCTTTTCCGGTAAATAATTAGCACATTAATTAGGTAAAATTTATTTCCAACGTCTCGTTATACATGCTCGTACACATAGTAAGAGTATTTTTTTTGTGCCAATTCTTATTTTTAATTTTAATCATGAACAAATCGTCTTCAATACAAATTTTCACAAATTCGTGACAGCAAAATTATTCACTTGAGTTAAAACGTAG